GAAGTGTTAGTTAAATACCCAAATCTATCTCTGCTGACTCGCAGATCACTCACTGCTCTTAGCCTAGCTGCCCCCTGGACACTAGATGACATACCCAGCTGCCTCCTGGGCATCACCCCCCCCACCCCCCCCACATAAGCTCCTCTTCCCTTCACACCCTATGACCTCTTGGGTACCAAGGCCTGGGGCTGCCGTGTCTAACAGTGCTTTCTCTCCCTGCCGCCACTGCAGGGCCCCTTGGGGTGCGGTGGCCTTACCTCAGGGAACACGTGCACACCTTAGCTTGCTTGGAGGGAATGCTAGATGGATGTCACCCTGCCACAGCCAGAGTGGCTGTCTAAGGTTTCATGGTCACACATTCAACCCTTTGAAGTTCTGCTTGAAAAGAAGCTCCTGGGCATTAGATTTAAAGTCCATAGAACAACCCTGCTGGCCTCTGCTGCATTGTTATTTTCTTTCTACTCTAAATGTGTCCTATGTGTGATTTCCTTTTTGCCTAGAATGGCCTTCCCTCCCAACCCCCAATTCAAATTTGTCCTTGAGAATCCCTAGAGCCTTTCCCACCTTGCCAGGCTGGCTAGGGGCCTCCTCCATCCCTGTGCTCCCGTTGTGTCTGCTTGCCTGCCCGCATTTTTGGGCAGGGAGCTCTTGGACTAGGCCAGGATGGGAATAAAGTATTCCCTGGGATTAGGCCCGGCACAGGGAAAGCCTCAGAAAATGTTCAATTAAATGGCTAAATTCTCTTACTCAAAGACTCAGCAAGTCTAATAGTTGACACTAGGGGTCCAGCATCCTTCCAGTCAGGCTTTTAAGGCATGGCCCATCCCTCATGCCCTGCCTCCCAGTGACCACCAGGAGTCACCAACCGCCTACTGTTTGCTGGGGCCGTTTTCTTGCCTGCTGAGATTCATGGCTGGAAAGACTGATGCTCTCAGCAGCCACTGTTAGTGGGTGCTCGTGGCAGGCCCCACGCTCTGTGCTTTCCATGCAGGATCTTACCTGTTCCTCCCAACTACCTTGTGATATCAGTATCCCTGCCATGGATGAGAAAACTGACACTTAGGTTACATGAAGTCACACAGCTGCCACAGCTGGATTGTGACAAACCCTTTTTTTTAAAAAAAGAAAATGTCAGAGAACCTGGGTTCCCAATTAGGCAGGGCTGCAGGGCGTAACCCTTGTACCCAGTAGTCTGCCCCCACTGCATCCACCACTGGGAGGGTGATTCTAGCTTTGTATCTAAACACAAAATCCCTCCCTGCATCTTCTTTTCCATTCTGGGTCTGGGGCACTTAGGCCTGAACCTGGAGGGTTAACGTCCTCTGCAGTGAGGAACATGCAGAGCCATAGGAGTGAGGTGAACTTGAATGCTGAGAGGCTGTTACCAGCTACACCATTTGAGACAAGTACCTCAGGACTGCAGAGAAGACGGATAACCCAGAAAAGGTACTCAGGGAATGGTCTGACTTGACTCCTGGGACAGCAACCCCTCTGTTCCCCTTAAGCTGTCCCTTCTTCATGGAGCAAATATGACAGCACACCCTTGGGTGCGGCTGCCTTACCTCTGGGAGACACGCATGCCTTAGCTTACTTGGAGGGCATGCCAGAGACAGGCCAAGGCAGTCCAGAGAATGAACAGCCAAGAGCGGAATGCGCAGAGACAGAGCCCCCGCTGACAACCTCTAGGCTTTCAGTAAGTCGGTACTCAGGTTTTCAGTACTCAGGTTCTCAGGGGTGCCTATGTTGGGGCCCCTACATGTCAAAACTGAAATAGTTTTTGCCCCTGTGCACATGGAATGAGGCCCAGAGAGGGTCCCAGGCCTTATGCAGGGTCACACAGCAGAGCTGGGATAAGAATCCAGGCCTCTGATTCCCTCTTTTCTAAAAATGACTCAGATTCTGCAGTGAGGGGCTGGTCTGGGCTTTTGAAGGCCCAGTTCTAGGCTCTGTTCCTGTTCCCAGTTGTCTTTGAGAGAGACCTTGGACAAACCAGTGTCTTCCAGAGGAAGGAGTTTCTCATTTGTGAGGCTCTCCTGCCCCACTGCTATTTCTTGGGGCTGTTCTGCAGGCATGAGTGCCGCCTCCTCCACCTGCCCTGCCCAATCTTGGGCCTTAGTGAGCCTGAGACCCTAGAGGGAGAAACGACAGAGCCCTTGTTCTGGGCTCCTACTGCTCCTTGGGGTTATCCTGTCCTGGGAGATGCACCTTGGCAGTCTGCTGTTCCAGAGTCTCCCCCATCAGATGTGAGCCTTTGGGTGACAGGGACAAGGTCTGGGTCATTTGTACCTCTAGTGCCCCAACCGTGGCCTGGGGGCAGTAGGTTTGCTGACCGGACAAATAGTGATTGAGTAAAGGTGGTCTTGGCCCTTAAGATGTCCTCTGGAGGAATCCCCACAGCACCAGGTGTGGACCCATCTGGGATTCAGACACACCATATCTGAATACAGGCTCTTTCCTTTCCTTGGATGGATAGCCACCAGGAAGAAATATTTTCAGCTGATCTGTACATTGTTTGATCTTCCTGGATCTTAGGAAGTTTGTATTGTAAGGCCCAGAAAGGTGAAGGGAAGAGCCCAAGGTCACAGCAAACTGAGGTGGCCCAGGGACCTGAATACAAGACAGGGACCTGTATTCAATACAGGCTCTTTCCCCTGCCCGGACAGGAGCAAGTGGGTGACAAGAATGAGAAGGACACTTAGGTATTTAACACACGGTACAGAAGTGGTGTTGAACCCCATTTTTGGCTCATTTCTGTAATGTTTCAGGATGACGTTCTAGAAAGATATTCCCAGACCAGAGCTCTCAGAAATAGACATGGCAGAAGTACTGTATTTGCTTTTTTGGCTATTGGGACCAGGGGAAAATGGTCCAGGAACAAGATGCTCTTTGGCATCCACAGACATCTTGGCAGATCAAGCAGTAACAGAGCAATCCTGGCGAGTTGAGGAAACTTCAAATGGTTGGGTCATGTAGGATTTCAGGACAAATGACAATTCTCCCCCTTCTAAACTAAAATTTCTGTAACTTGGTTGTATTTTTGCCATGAAAAACAACTTTGTAATGAACAAAATAAATGCAGATTCAGAGCAGCCTCACTTTGTCCTAAGGCCACTCAGAGAGGGCCAGGCAGCAGTTGGCCCTGCAACTAGAGTCTGTGGCTGGGTAGCGAGCAATGTGCTGTTTGCATATGATCACAACCTAGAGGATGCTTTGCATTGTCACAGCAGAGTCCAGGGGCTTGGGTCTTTTCAGTTTCTGGCCATCCTGATAAGTCTGTCTGGCCATCCATTATTAAGTCTGTTTCCAAATGTTGTGACCTTTTTATGTGATGTCTTCATTCTGTGTCTAGAAACTGAACTTGTCTATAAAATAAGAATTGGATAATCCCTAGGGAATCATCTCATTGCAGTCCTTTTAAAGCTGGAGATGCAGCAGCCCAGAAGGAAAGTTTGTCCCATAAAGCAGTGGCCAGGTGTGATATCTTCCCTCTGGAGCCTCTGGCTTGTAGACGTGGGCTGGGGTGCATGGTCAGAGAGGAAAGGGACCCAGGTGGTGTGCTGTGACTGGCTTGACTGCATTATGGGTAGTTCTTGTGACGAAGGTGGTCAAATCTTAGCTGTGACACTGGGTTGGGCAATTAGCTTAGCTCTGTCCTCTGGTCACAAACTGAGCCTCCAATACCAACAGCAGTGTCAGATGGGAGCAGTTTTCATTAGCAGGGGAAGGCAGAAGATGGAAAAGCTACTTAATGTGCACTGACAGCCCTTCCTGTATTTATGATACAATAAAGCACTTTTACACACATCATGCTTTCCTTGTGTCTCATATAACCTTGTGTTACTGTGAGGCTGGATGAGTAGCAAGGACCCCAGTTCTGAGAGGAAGACCACCAAAGGTGGGAGAGGTGAGGGTGAGGACCATTTTGTCTACCCTGTGCTGTACACCTGGATGGTTTTCTTGGATCCACAGCTATCAAGTGGGAGCCAGGATTTAGCTCAGACCTTCTGACACCACAGTCCCATGTCATCTCCTGTGGTGTTCATGAGAGCTTCAATGGATACAATCAAAATTTCGGAGGCCAATTTGGCAAAATCTAATAAAATAAAATAAAATAAATTGAAAAAATAAAATTTTTGACTATCAAATTATGTATTTAGGTATTTACTCAATATTTTTACTGGAACAAATTTATAAAGAATTAAGTACAAGATGTTAATTTTACTTCCTAATAGCTAATGGATACAACCTAAACATCCATTACTACAGGAATGCTTAAATTAGGATATATCCAAACAATGGAGTCAAATGCAGCCATCCAAAAGAATGAAGTAAACTTAAATGTATTATATAATCTTACATAAAAGGCAATAGATAAAAGCTTATATAAAAAGGCAGCATGTGCACCTATGAGTCTTATGCACAGAAAATGTCTGGAAGAATACATACTGCACATGGCCAGCTCTGGAATAGGAGAGTGGTGGGGCCCCTCCCCACACCGGCTGAGCTGGGCTGGCAGCCAGAGGGACTCAGCCTTTAACCGGGATCCTTTACCTATTCCCCACACCAGTAAAATTTCCTTCACTTGATTCATTATTCCTCAAGGTAGAGGTTTAGGAATGGGCAGAGGGGTCCAGAATGCCCACTTCGTAGAAGCCTGAGACCCCACCCTTGCAAAGTGTGTCAGTGACCCTCCTTTGCCCCCCGAGACCCCTCTGTATGCTGTCCAAACCCCCTTCCAGCCACATCACATAGTACTGTCCTCATATGTGTACCTGTCCTTTCTCTTCCCACTGGTAAAACACCTTATTTACTTCTCTAGCATCCAGACTATTCCCCGGGCAGGTGTGGGGGCATCAGGGACTGACTATCTTATGGATTGATTAAAATGTACTTCCCCTATGTGTTGTTGGGTTCAAAGGAGGGCCCAGGAGTGTCTTTTAAGAAGCTCAATTTGGAAAAGTCTGCTTACTCAAATCTTTTTATAAGGAAACTTAGAAAACTTAATTCCATTTTTTTATTATTCAACATTTTATACATAATAAATACAAACTTTTTACAGCCACTCTAAAGGAAGCACATCAGCACAGAGGTACCCCTCCGAGCCTGGCCCTGTGCACTGTGGCGCTGGGTTACACGTCCTGGAGGGAGAGGTTCTTCTTAAAAAGGAGGCATATTTTTACAACTCTGTTTTTTTAAAATAAAATTAGCAGCTCTTCCAAAAGATATTTTAAAATACAACAAAAAACTTCAAATAACCCTCTGAGAATGCGGAAAATCCAGATTCAAGGACAATTTGGCTAGCTAAGGAGAGAATACAAGATTGGGTGGTGAGAACTGCCTGGTTTAAGCACTTCAAAGATTTTTAAAGTGCTTTTTTTTTTTAAATGCGCCAGCAAACTTTCAAATCTTAAAAAACCACCCTTTTCTTTTTTAAACTTAAGAATAAGTTTGATAAACACAAAAAGACCTCAAATAGATCAACAGGTTAAGAAATGCAAAAAACAGAAACAAAAAACCCCCAAGTTATGAAGAAGATTCATCAGTGGGTATTGTCATGAAGTGATCAATTTCTAACCAAAAATTTCTTCAGCTAAGACCTTACTTTTGGTCAAAAATCCCATGGGGACATGTGGTAAGCATTTCAAGTTTTTAAAGATTTTTTTAGGAGGGATGGAGTTTTCAAAGCATAATACAACTTTCAGATTAAATTCTGCAAATTTGATTTCTTAAAAAGAAAAAAAAAGCAACTGGCAAATACCCTTAGTCCCTAGGTAAGGCATTCTCTGTTTTTCACAGGAGGATGCAAGTGCGACTCCTGGCCCTCCCTGGGCTTGAAGAACTTGTCTTTTCCTCCTCGTTTTGCACTTGTGCAGGGTGTGCAATCATTTAGTCCCTTTTTATAAGAAGCCAGTTTCCTCCATGAGCCACAGGTTCTTCCTCCCAAGCAAACATCAGGTTGATGGGACCTAGGAAGCTGCATTTTCTCTGGCTGACTGGGCCAGTGCACTGCCTTGGGAATAAAGTAATTCCAGGGACCTTGCTAGTAGAGAAGCTCAAGAAGGCAGGTATGTGTTGCCAATTGATCTAGACATTCAGATTCTAAGGATACTAGTCAGAAGAGTATATGCTGCAAAAATTAAGATGAAAATACCCAAATATAAAAAACATTAAATTGGCTCATTTCAGATCTGGAAGCTCCATTTCTGCTTCAGCCACAGCCTCCTTTCCATTAGTCTATGTGATGGACAAGATTTGGCTACTAGTTCAGCCCCTCCAATATTAGCTCCACTAATACTAAATGAATGGCATAAATATTAATACAAAGGACACCGTTATTTTTTAAATCCATTAGTTGTGGAAGAGATGTGCATTAAAGTAACTGGCGTTAAACTCGGGGCAGTCCTTTTTTCCAATCAGGTTTCACTTTCTCAGTCTGGGGACTAACAATGGGGAGGAGCCAGCCTCTCCTGAAGTCCCTCCTTCTCTTCCTTATGTAGCCAGTGATCTGATTAAATTCAACCAGACAAGCAAAAGCCACTTGAAGAAAGATGAATATCTCTGCCACATCCCGTGGCCACAGTAATATACTGTACGAGTGCACGTGATTGGTATCTCTGGGACTGTGCCCTGAAAGAGGCCTGGTCTTGAATCTTGTATAAAAATGGACCACTGTTAGACATGAGGATGCCCCCCTCTGCTTCTAGGGCCCACTAGGATTTGTGCTATGGTAGGAGAGATGACATAGAAAATGACAACAAAAAAAGGCACAAAATATTCAAAACGTGGGAGGAGTCCACCAGGCTACCCAGTCACATATAATCTTCCTTGTTTTTGCTCTGTTCAAGAGTCATCATCATGCAAAGGTGCCTAAAAAACAAGCCTGGCCAAACTCCAGGCCTGGCCTTGATTGTAGCAGTAATGGATGGGCTAACCCATCATCACACCAGTGTGATTTCCACATCCTCGATCTTCTCTGCTGGCCTTCGGTGGTTCTGCGTAGGTGGAGGGGGAGCTGCCCGGACCTGAGAATGAAATATGACATGGATGGTTAGTCAGCTTCCTGATTCAGTGCCTGGAGCAACTAGTCATTTACCCAAGCATGTATGCATCCCAGGGGTCTCAGAAATGCTCTCAGCATGTGCTTTCCACCTAATCATCACTGTTTCCCACACTGAGAAGGAGTTACTGTTCAGGGTGAAATGTGAAGTCCACAAGTCAGGTTTTTGGCCACACTGAAACTCTCAGAGGCACAAGAGTCACTGTGGCCCTAAAAGCTTGTCCAAAGCAAAGGCCTGGGGTTGGAAGCAAGAGAAAGCAATGCTTGGAGACCTGAAGCATGTCTGGGAAGGAGATAAGTCATAAGAGAGAAGACTAGAAAGTAGGCTAGGATTAAGTTATGAAGCCATGTTAAGAAATCTGAGCTTAACTCTGTAGGCAAAGAAGAGTCTTTGATATACTAAATAGCAGTAGTAGATGTGTGAAAAGATGACTCAGGTAACAGGAGAAAAGAATGGAGGTGGGCAAGAGTATAGGTAAGAAGATCATTTAGGAGGCCCTTGTAGCCATCTGAATGAGAGCTGATGCTAGCCTGAATGAGGGCACTGGCAGTGCAGTAGCAGAGAGGTGGGAAGATTTGACAGCTGTCTCTGAGGTGAACCTGGCAGGTTTGGTCATGAGGGAGGCAGGGCCTGGGACTTATGAAGAGTGACTCCAAAGCACTAGTAGGATAGGGGCTCCACTCACCAAGACAAGAAATATGGGAGGAGAATGGCTAGGAGGGCGGACAGTCAACTCATTTTGCTGAGTTTTGGGGGTTTGGTACATATACATTGAGATGCCCAAAAGTCTGAGTTTAGGGAAGAGATTGGACTGGTAGTTATAAATCTTGAAGTTGTCAGTAAATAAAAGGTTATCAGAGCCATGAGATTGCACAGGGAGAGTGTTTAATGACTCAAGAGAAGTGGCCCCAGACAGAACTCCGAGAAGCGTCATCAGAGATGGAGAGAGGCTGAGGAGCCTGCAAAGGTCAATGAAAAGGAAGGGCCAGAGAGGCAGAAAGCAAACCAGGGACGAGGATGGAACAAATTGGCCCACTTCTCTCTATTCCCACTCTTAGCCACCAGTTCATGCTCTTACTTGGACCACTCTTAGCCACAGCCCCCTCTTACTTGGACCACTGCTCCAGCTTCATAATGGCTCCCTATGTTCTGTCACTTTCCATTCATTCTCAACTTAGCTGTTATAGCAATGTTTTTAAAATGCAGAGCCAGTCATATCACTGCACTGTTTACAACATTGCAGCTGCTTCCTATTACATTTACGATAAAGAACCAAGTCAGTAAAAAGGCACTCAATGCACATATGAATGAATGAAGCCAAAGGCAGTGAGTGGCTGAAGGAATGGTGTCAAATGCTGATAAGGGGGTCAAGGAAAATGAAGTTGCAAGTGTGCACTGGATTATTATGGGAAAGTTCTGACCATGGAAGAGCTGTTTCACAGTGAGGTGGTGGGGTGCAGCTGGCAGTGGAGTTAGGGGTGAGGAGAGGTGATTATTTGTAAGAATAGATTCTCCTTGAGAACAGAAGCTCTCAAAACTCAAAAGAGCATGACGTGTATCTTATTATTTCATCTCCGTGTCCCTCAAAGAGGCAAATGTAAGTCTGGAACACAGTATGTCAATGAATGCTTGCTGAAGACAGCACTTCTGCCTCACAGTCAGACCGCCTGGTGCTCAGAGCCTGCTGTAAGCAAGGTGTGCTCTCACAGCTGTCATCTGGGGCACTCACCACAGCTCAGTGAAAACAGCACCAGCACAGCCTAGACCTTCCAAAATGTGTTCATGTTTATAGCCTTCCTTCTCAAGTGCTTTTTTATTTTTCCAAACCCATCTCACCCCTGCATGGGAGAATTCATAATAACACAGGGACCATGGGAAAACATTACTTTCTAACCTCCACTTTGGAAGAACTGTGTATTCTGTAACCCCACCAGATAACAGACTTACGGGTCGCAGTTTGCCATATGAGGTCTCAGGAGTGTGCCTTGGTGCCTGTGAGAATCCTGGCGATTCAGCATGGAAGCTGTTTTCTATGGAAGGGAACCAAGAAACTCATTTTATTCGTGCTGCTGAGCAACAAAAATGCTAATGCAGAACTTTGTCCTTCAGGTGAACATGTGGATTTCTGAATGAAAATGTATTTAGATCCATGCTCTAGAGAACCCTTACCATTTGCTGAAGGCGAGCGGGGGAAGTACTGGGAGCTCCTCTTATCTGGGCTGGGGTATGGGCTGCTGGGAGGCTGGTCATACAGCGGCAGTGGAGGCAGCGGGCCAGGTGGCTTGGGGGAAGGAGAGATCTGCAGAGGGAGGAGCGATTACCAAGTGCCCCCGTCTGCACAGAGAGATGGCTGGCTTCCCACACTACAGCAAACTGCTTTTCTCTAGTGCCAAGTTATGATGATTAACACTTTCTTTGTCAGCCTCATTATAAGCACATTAGAGCCTGAAATAATCACCCCAAACCCCAGTTTTGTGTTGCATTTAACTTTTTACTATCACAGATCTCATACTATACTACTGATTTTAGTTTATCTTAAACAGTTATCAATTCAAAGCATTCTCTAGTGTTCTACTGAAAACATACCAAATTAGTCAATTCAGTAAATTCAGTGAAGAAAAAGAGACAAGTTATATTGTTTTTTTGTAAAGATAAAACAATTGGCTGAATTCCTGACTTCCCCAGGTTTTGTAAATGTCAGGCTAAGTGGCCACAAACAAGATGGGCAGACATGTTCCTTAAGGTCCTGCACCTGGGGCACTGCTGTGACAGATCTGAATCAGGCCCTTTCTGGAAAGGTGAGCTTAGCTGTGATGAGTGAAGTCTAGGGCCACATGAGTATATCGGGGCTCTACCACTCACTGAGTACTTTGAGATGGCCTGGCAGGACCTGGGCTGGCCAGGAATGCTCTCACAGTGAGGGAGAGGAAGAACAACCTAATATTTTTACTATATAAACTAGCCACAGAGACAACACATTCCCTTCTCTGGTTTGTTTCTTTCTACCAAACCATTCATTTGTATGTTACATACAATTGAGCATTGCGGTTAAGCCATTCAGAGAACAGTATGTGGGAGAAAGGAGGTGTAATACTGCCATTCCATGAGAGTCTGACTGCTGAGTCTCTGCTTTCCCAAATCTAGTTTTGCAGAAACTTGGTAACGAGGACTGGAGTAGAGAGGATGGGTCCGAGACTATAGCCTGGTCTTGCATGGGCCAACAACTCTTGGTAGTCACTTTCTTTTAACGCCTTTTAATTCAGTTTTCTCCCCTCTCACGTACCTGAATCTCTCTCATCCACGGAGTGTCACCATTTTCTGAGGCTGACAGTTCTTCCACTAGTACCGATGGGAAAACCCCAATTCGCCCATTGAATTCCCCTTCCCAGAAGCCATCATCATCCTGGTTTTCTTTGTTCAAGATTCGGATGATTGCTCCCTCAGGAAAAGATAATTCATCACCTGTCTGGCCCTCGTAGTCATAAAGTGCTTTTACAAAACAGACTAGGTAGAAAGACAGAGAAAAATGTAGTAAGAACACTGACAGCCAGGTTACTTTTGCAACCACCCCTCTGCTCACGTGACAACTACCAGACAGTCATACAGAATAAGAGTAAAGCAGTAATTGTTTCACTCACTGAAGATCACCTTTGGGATTCTACTGTACAGAATAAATGTGACCAAATAAAGGAAAATATAGACTAGGAATAAAGTTGTGCTTTCTAACCTACTGAAGGCTGACTCTAGGGTAATAAGAGTTCAGGCCAAATGTGACCAAATAAAGGGGTGCCTTGTTTCAGTCTTTACCACTGGCGTCTCCGTTGAGGCTGCCTGAAACAAGTTCGGCCTCCGTGGAATTGCTGGACGTGTGTGACCGACTGTCCAAAGCAGCCAAGGACTGCAGCATACTCAGCAGACTGTTGGAGGTGGGGAACTGTAGGTACTTCTCTGGCACATAACCCACTTGGCCAACTTTATTTCGAGCCTGAGTAAAAGACACGCAACAAAAAAGGTTTGCACACACAATCTGGACAGGTCATAACAAGAACCAAAACAAACTCCTAAAAATATCACAAGAAGGGGCGATATGAGCAAAGGAATATACCTTCACCCAGTCTTCCATATCTCCATCTTCAATCACTTCTAACACCTCATGTTCCTCAATGGTCAACTCATCTGGTTGAGAAGCCTGCAATGTAGGATGGTCATGGACAAAATTAAAAAGGTTAGATAAAGGGCAGATGTGAGCTGATCATAACAAAAATGGGGGAATCAAAATACTGAAATGATTTTGAAAAATGTATTGCACATAAAAATTTAAGTGTTGTAAAACAATCATAATGAGATGAAGTTTTACTTTAAAAAACTGAACAAAATAAAGCCACAACAAAAACTGGAGAAACGGAATCCTCAAGAGGTAATAAGTGCAGTGAACACAGCACTCTGCTGGAAAGAGTGGACTGGGGCTCTAGCTCCAGCTTACGTACTTATTGGTAAGTTATTCAACTTCTTGATGCCTCCATTTCTTCAAAATGACAATCCTGCCATTCTGGGGAGGATGGGGGAGGCAATGTGGGATGAATAAGCACAGAACCATGCTGATCTGGGCAGCACAGGCAAAGGAGAAAGCACCGAGTCAGAACTGCACCAGAGGGCTACCATGGAGGTGCATGCTGTGGGAAGGCAAAGGACTATGCACATGGAGTGGATGACAGCTTCTGAAGCGCCTAGAACTGATCTGGAATCACTGTCAAACAGTGCCCAAGAGAAAAAAGGAAATGTAGGAAAGTAAATGATTGAGATCAGTCAAAGTTTGGATTTATTGTGCTCCAACTTAACTGCGGAGACAGGGCTGATCCCTGTGGGTGCTCCTGCACAAGCAGCTAACTGTGATGGTTTTATTACCCCTGACAGCAGGAGTCCACTAGCACCAGCCCTGGAGACTGTGGAATCTGAGAGCACTCTCAGGGGCTCTGCAGAGGGGTTGGAGGGAGACTACGTGGCATTGTTGCCTAGAGAGACCTGCCTGTCACATGTAACAGGGAGGGGCCTGCTGGCATCTTCTCACTCTCTCTAGCGAACAGTCTTGCACGCTTTCCCCAAGGACCAAGGTCAGTTTAAACTACCACTTAATACCATACAGTTTTTCAAATCTCACAGTCTCAAAGTGTAAAATATGTCCAAGTTACACCAGGGAAAATAAGGCAAGAAAATGGGTCACTTTCCTCGACTCATTTCCCATTTCACGTGCTTCATAATATCCCACCAAACCCAGACTCTGGACATTACCATGGCTGCAGAGATGGAAAAAACAGTATTGAAAATGGCTGACCAGTCACAGAAATACTCCAGGGTCATTAGTTTAAGCAAATTAACTCTGATTCAAAACATGAGGGGAAAAAAGCTCACTGATTTTTGGTAGCTTTTCCAGTGGAATTTCTTTGCTAATTTGAAGCTACACCACACTATGAATATACTGCAAAAGGCATTATATAACAAAGATGTTTTTCCTAACTCTACGGCAAGACTTAACTAGTATCAACACAACCAGACTTCAATCAGTGAGAGCAAAGCAGGAGGGATAAGAACACCTTTCAATACATTGCTGCCCTACAGAAAAGTCCTGGAGGTCCATGCAAGTTGCCCAACATCATTACATAAGCAGATGCTAGTTTGATCATACCATTCTCCCACCTGACAAGGTCAAGTCCTCTGCATGGCATGGAAGACTATGGTACCTACATGAATTTGGTCCCTGTGGTCTCTTTATTCTTTGGCCACAGCACACGATTCCCCATTCTCTGAACCCACCCTGTTCTTCCTTGCTTCTATACTTTACCAGGCTGTTCTTTCTTTCCAGCAGGTCCTTCTCCCTCTTTTCCATCTGGTGAATGGGTTTACATTACTGTGGGTTCAAGTAATCAGTGCTTCTAAGGGCAAGTGGCCACAAGACATCTCTGAGCCTCAGTTTTTTTTTCTATTCCTATTAGAATGTGAAAATTCTCTGCCTTTGCAGAGAATTTTGCCTGTTTTGATCAGTGCTGTATCCCTGAGCCTAGAAAGGAGGACAGGTGGTACATGAAAAGTGCTCAATTAACATTTGCTGAATTAATGGGTTAGCTGATAATATCTTTCTTATCAGGTTATTGAAGGGATTAGGAAAAAAAATACCAGGCACACAGTACTTCATAAATGGTAGCTTTTATTACTCATGACTTGAAGCCCAGCTCATATGTTCTCCAAGGCCACCCCAATAAGCTGCTTGCTTCTTCCTCCTTTTGTTCTTACCAGGCTTTGTGCATCCCTCCGACAGTGACCACATGGCACTCTATTTAGTTGTCTGCTCTTGTGGGCTTTCTATTAGAATGACTTTTTAAGGCAGGGAATGTATTTCTTCTAACTTACCCCAACTAGAGACAGCACGTGGTCAGTAAATAGTTATTCAATAAACAAGTGGTCTCACACTGCTTCCTGAAGTCCTAATATCCAGCAATGGCCAGAACTCTAGAAGGAGCCATGGCCTCCATTCCCACCACTCTAAATTTCCTGTTTTCTTTTAAAACAATATGCTTTTTCCTGAGTATAAAAGTATTACATGTTCATTGTAGAAAGGCTGGGAATATACATAACTGAGATCTTGAAGTGCATGCAATTTGGTATTTTACCTTTTTGACATAACATAGTATTTCTTCTTTTAAAAAATTCTCACTAGTGTAATTTTCAATTATTTTCATAATATTTTATGTTTTGTTATATTTATGTAATTATGGTTAGTTAACTATTCCCTTACTGGACTGCCAACTTTGGTCTTACAAAGTTGTATTACAAAGTATTACAAAGCTATTACAAAGTAGTATTATGATGAAAGGACATTTTTGTATCCAAAATTTTCTTCTATATTTTGCGTTATTTCCTTAAGATATATGTTAGTAGAATTAAAAGTTAACATTTTTGAGGCTTTTTAATTTAATCCTTAAATATAGCTTTTCTTTGTTCTCATCAGACTAATCCAGGCCTTCTTTGCTGGTCTGGACCATAGGAATCACTAGGAGGCTTATAGTTAGTCTCTTTCTATACAAATCTATATTCTATAATGTTACAACCAGGGTGACCTTCTTGAAAGCCCAATCTGATTTTAGAACACTCAATGGCTGCTCCCAGCCAGGATAAAAGCCAAATTCTGGTCAGGTATACAAGGCCCTTTACCGTCTGACAGCAAGCAGCTTTACTTCAGCGGCTCTCTTCCCCACACTTGAGGCTCACACACCACTGCACTGAACATTTCCTGAGCACGTCACACTCTCATCAAACCATGTCTCTGCATCTGCGGTTCTCCTTGCTTAGAAAGCTCTCTCCCTTCCCAGTTTAAATGCCACTTCATCTGTATAATTTCTCCCAAACATCACAGAAAGAATCAGCAGTCTTACCTCTACTATAAATGTTTCCACACAAAGTCTATTTTTCAGTTTATTATTTACTCTCTCTAGACTAGGGGTCAGGAATTGTGTCACATCCATTCTTGCATTCTTAAAATTTATAACATATTGGGCACTCAATAAATGTTCAGTGATTAACTGATAATAGAGTTCTATAGTCTATGATAGGGACAGGTCTGGGATATGCCAATAGAGGGAATTCTGGATGAATGTGTGCTGTTCATAATCACTCAGACACTTAGGACCCTCTCTATTTAAGGATCTTAAATTTGTTTTAATTGAAATGTAATTGATATATTGGCTTCAGGTGTATAAGTGATTTGACAATTACTAAATGCTCACAATAAATATAGTTACCATCTGCCAACATATAAAGATATTAATTATATTCTTATGGGCAATACTCACTATGCTATACTTTCAACCCTGTGACTAATTTATTTTATAATAGGAATCGTGGACCTCTTTATCCCCTTTAGGTCTTTCACCTATTCCCTCATCCCTGTCTCCTATAGCAACCACCAGTCTATTGCCTGTGTTTATGAGTCTATTCCTGTTTTGTTAGTTTGTTTTGTATTTTAGATTGCACTTATAAATGAAATAATATGGTATTTGTCTTTCTCTGTCTGACTTATTTCACTTAGCATAAAACCCTCTATAAGGACCTTATATTTTGATTCTGGAACTTCAAAGTAAATACAGTACTAAAAAGTGAGTAATGGGAAAGAAACATTCCCAACCCTAGATTTATAATACTTGATAACACAAGCATCTCAGAAGATGACTTAAAATTCTCAAAGGATTATCAAAACATCTTATACCAAAAAAAAAAAAAATCCCAATCCTTCTGGAAAAGAGGAAATATTACTAATTTAAATATATAATGAAAATTATGTTAAATTAAAAACTCTGGAAATCATTGATTTTGAGGAGCAAATACTGCAAACTTTTGGCTTTCCAGGGATGGTGATGTTAAAGAGATTGTTCCATGTATGACTGTTGAAGATTCCTTCCATACCCTTCCTCTATTGCTCCTTAAGCACTAGGTCTCCATCAGCATGGAGGTCAAAGGAGGATTTATTTATTCATGCCTTCCTTACATCGTTCATTTATTCATTCTACAATCATTTACTGAGGACCTACTGTGTGCCAGACATTGTCCTGGGTGCTGAAGACACATAGATAAGGTACACAGACAAGGTTTCTGCCTTCATGGACCTTTAGTGGGGAGGGAGTCAGACAAAAGAAATATGAAAGCAAGATCAAGTTTGGTTGGTGATGAGTGCTATACAGTAAATAAAGAGGGCAAAAGGGCAATGGGGTATGAGCAGTGACTAAGGAGTTCCTTATATATATAGGGGGTCAGGGGAAACCTGAGGAGGCACTATTTGACCTAAGCCTCAATGAAGAGCAGTAGGCCAGCCAACCAAGATTTGGGAAAAGATGTTTCTAGGTAGAGGGGACACCAAATGCAAAGTTATTAAGTCAGGAGGGAGGATGGTGCTTTCGAAGACTAAAAGGCAGGCATGGTGGCTAACATGTACTAAGTGGTTTGGGGGCAGGAATGCTCTGAGGTGAAGCTAGGGAGACTGGCAGGGGACAGATAAACATGAACACTAGATACTAGTGAAGAGTTTGCTTTTCTACATGTGATGGAAAGCTTATAAAATGTTATAGGCAGAGGAATAAAATAATGTTTATGTGTTAAAGATAATTCTGGCTGCAGAGTGGAAAAATGGACTCTTGGGAAGCAAGTATGAAGAAGGGATACCAAATCAGTCTTTTTTCTTTCACTGTAATCAAAGCAATGGCCTAGACCAAGATGGTGAGAAGTGAATGGATTCAGAATGTGTTTTGGAGGTGGACTATTTCAATAGGGCTGGCTGATGGACTGGATGAGGGGAGTGAGGGAAAGAGAGGAACGGGGGAACTGAAACTCAATTTACTTTGTGTAAGTAAAAAGTTAATGTGACAAGCAGGGCAGGGGTGAGAAAGATTAAGAATTATTACAACAAATCAGGTTTAGAAATTCTGGCACCTATTTATCCTGGTCCCTCCTTAACATGGAAACAAGAAGTGGCTATATTAAGACCAGGCAAGGTAAAGTTTAATACAACTGCTTTGTAAAAGAGTTTTCTTTTAATATCAATTTTGAGGATTATCTTAATGGAGGGTCTTGGGCCAAGCATGCAATTGATAGTAAGGATGAGTATTATTTACAAATAGTCTTACAATATTATACTATAATACAGATGAGAAAACTGAGTCTCACAGAGATTAAGGGACTAGTGTAGTCAAGTAAGTGGTAGATAAGATTTTAACTCAGGTACTCTGATGTCACAGCTAGTCTTTATATTATGTTAAGTTGCTTTTACTATAAACTGAACACCAGTTTTATGTTAAGCACAGTAGGAGAGGCTGAGTAGATACAGCTACATGTATTTTCAGAGTTGTTATAATTTACTATGAGCAACATGCTTAGAGAAATACAAACCTTGTAGGAATAAACAACTTTGCAGGTGAGTGGATAATTTCGTAATGTGCCGGAAGGGCTGGAACTGCTGTCATCAAAAACATCCATATTGTCTTCAAACTCTTCTCCTTCTTTTTCTGTATCTGCATTAAGCTAGGAAAAATTAGAAGCCATTGGCTAGCTTGCTTACTTCAAGAAAATGACTGAAAGTAGGGAAAAACACTGAAAACCTGCTTGTTTCAAAATATTAATTTACTTATTTGACTGTACGTAGAAATAAGTATCTGTTCGCACTTGCATTTTTCATGTTATGAAAGGACAAAGATGTTTTTTCCTTTTAAGATCAAGAATAACATGCCTTTCAAATCTCTAAAAATTACTTAGTATCCTTTCACTTTTAACTGCTAAACACTGATTAATAAAGGCCTCTTGCCATTTTAAACTGTTTATATTGGGAAACATTAAAAGAAATTTCTAAATGCTACCAAGGATGTGGAGAAACAGGCTTTCATCTATGGTTTGTAAAAATGTAAACTGAAAGAGAACCAAGATGGCAGCGTGAGTAGAGCAGCGGAAATCTCCTCCCAAAACCATATATATTTTTGAAAATACAACAAATACAACTAATCCTAAAAGAGGGACCAGAAGACACAGGATAATAGCCAGACTACATACACACCCGCGAGAACCCAGCGCCTTGTAAAGGGGGTAAGATATAAGCTGCGGCCCGGCAGGACCCAAGCGCCCCTCACCCCAGCTCCCACCGGGAGGAGAGGAGTCAGAGCGGGGAGGGAGAGGGAGCCCAGGACTGCTAAACACCCAGCCCCACCATCCACACCAGAGCGCAGACACACAGTGCGTGCGTGGGGTGCTGGATACTAGGGAAACAGGACAGTAAGACCCGTGAGCGGGTCCCCGCAGCCGGCACACCCAGGACAAAGAAAAGCGAGTGCTTTTTGAAAGTCTTAATGGACAGGGACCCCACAGCTGGATGGAAGTGCCCCAGGACACTTAGCCCAGCAACTGGGAATCACGGGGAACTCTGGGCACCCGAACCCCCGCAGCGCAGTGCGGAGGCCCCCCACCGCGATAAACAGCCTCCTACCTGTTCCCCCTCCAACGTGGCTCTGCCATATTGGAGAAGCAGCCTGAGGCCAGCCACGCCCACAGCAACTGCAGCGCTATACTCCATAGCGGCCGGGCAAGATCAGTAGCCCCGTCTGCACGCAGCTGCCCAGCACAAGCTGCTAGAGGCTGCTGTTCTCCCAGGAGAGGAAGGCTACAAACTAGCAAGGGACTTTCTCTTACCCAACACACGCGCCAGTTCCTCACAAATATTATCTATCGCCATGAAAAGGCAGAACAAATTGATACAGACCAAGATCACAGAGGCAAACCCTGAGACGGAGATAGACCTAACCAGTCTTCCTGAAAAAGAATTAAAAATAAAGCTCATAACCATGATGATGGAGCTGCAGAGAAGTATGCAAGAGCTAAGGGATGATGTCCGGAAGGAGATTACAGAAATGAAACAATCTCTGGAAGGATTTATAAACAGAATGGATAAGATGCAAGAGGCCATTGATGGAATAGAAACCAGAGAACAGGAACACATAGAAGCTGATGCAGAGAGAGATAAAAGGATCTCCAGGAATGAAACAATAACAATATTAAGAGAACTGTGTGACCAATCCAAAAGGAACAATATCTGCATTATAGGGGTACCAGAAGAAGAGAGAGAGAAAGGGATAGAAAGTGTATTTGAAGAAATAATTGCTGAAAACTTCCCCAAACTGGGGGAGAAAATAGTCTCTCAGACCATGGAAGTGTGCAGAACTCCCAACAGAAAGGACCCAAGGAGGACAACACCAAGACACATAATAATTAAAATGGCAAAGATCAAGGACAAGGACAGAGTTTTAAAGGCAGCTAGAGAGAGGAAAAAGGTCACCTACAAAGGAAAACCCATCAGGCTATCATCAGACTTCTCAACAGAAACCTTACAGGCCAGAAGAGAATGGCATGATATATTTAATGCAATGAAACAGAAGGGCCTTGAAC